AAAGAAAGAGTCCTCAACAACTACAAAGATTTGCTAAAGAGAAAATATGTATTCAACGAAAGAGGGAATAACTCATTTTACAATATCAAAAAATTGTGTGAAAGTGGCACGAACTTTTGGGACAACCTAGTAGATTAACATGGTCCTCAAAGAAGCGGAAGCAGCTCTTCAGTGGGCTTCGAAGATTTTCACTTCCAATTTTCATCAGTTGCACACAACTTTACGTGTCATTTCGCCTCGAGGGGAGAGAAGAAGAGTCAATAGTAAGAAAAGCTCATCAGGACGCTTTCGTACAAATACACTCACTTATGTGCGTGGAAATGGTACATCTTCCCGAGCTTCTTATCAAGAATGAATGACGGGGCCGTTCGCACCTCCAACATATCAGTTTCCATGCGCGCCTTAAATATAACATGATAGCACATAGGTTCGACGTTCGATGAATCTTGGCATCGTGTGTGATATTCTTGGAGTAGTTTTGAAGCCACAAGCCAAGATGTTACATCTTTATACGGCTAACGTTTCGGCTTGGTCGCCTTCGTCAGAGCCTGGAAAAGTCAAAGATCACTGCGACCCACCGCAGACATCATTTCCGACTTCGAAATAGTCCCCATAGACCAGAAGAATCCATGGGTGGCATCATAAACCACAAGCACCAGCTGACTCACCTTAGATGTAGGGCCGGACTTTGTTGAGACCACCGCTAAACTGACTCACTGTGGGTGGCCTCTGGTGACCTAGCCCATCGGCAAGGAGCCGACGGCGTTCTAAGCCCGCAAAGGTCAGCAAAAGGTGCGAGTTCACTGGTGATGGCTAGGCATTCATCTTTCCTGTTTATTTTTGGGTTTTTAGCGCTTATCCAAAAGGCCTCCAAAGTTTTGCGCGCTGAATTGAGGGGCTCTCGCGTCAGGATCCTCACAGTGACCTCAAACTCCGCTCCTCCATGGCACTGCAACCGATGACCACCCAGGGGGGTCCCAGGCCTTGATCTCTTGCCCGTCTAGGTTGTTCCTTGATCCGAACCAAGGGGCCGTTTCCCGATATCTCTTCCCGCGAGGCACATGATATGAGGGTAGACCACAACACGATGACTGATACAGTGCTCCTGCCGTAGGACAGATGAACACACTGGGGGTCTGGCAAGTGCGATTGTAACAGCGTTCCGAACTAACGGGCGTTCAGGTTTGTGGGTGGATCTCGACCACCTGATAAGTCTTCGAGACCACACCTGCGGACGGCGTTTTCACTAAGGCCAAGCTGATCCTGTCGTTCACGAAGGGAGGCAGAAGGCTACGATTTTTCTCATCCTCGTTCGCGGAGATGCGGCCTTCTTGTGAGTGGTCCAAGAAGAGAGTGTTCTTTTGGTGGGTATACGTTGGAGAGAGCTGTGTCTCAGCAGCTCAAGGATGTCCTTCTTCTTGTCTCCCGATGAGACCATGTCGCTGCGTCCTGAAATGAAAACAACACAACGATAGGCTGGCTCCCATTCTAAACACTCGTGGCAGCTCAGGCGCGGGTTTTTACCGGACCATAATGGTACGAAAAACCCAGTAACAAAAACATTTGGTCATTTCGGTCGGTCACCCCTAGCAGATCAAGGCGCCATCCTAATAACATGTTCAGGACGCGCAGAGATGGGTTCCATCGGGAGAATCAAAAAGAAAGAAATCTTGGAGCTGGCTGAGAGCATAGCTGCTCTCCAACGGTACCCGCAAAAGGAAACTCTCTGCTTGACCACCCACAAGAAGGCCGCATGTCCGGCGAAGAGAATGAGGAAAAGGTGCTTCGCCTCCCCTTCGTTGTAAGACATGGACAGCTTGCGTGTGAAAGGCCGTGCGCAGGTGTGGTCTCGAAGACCTTAGTCAGGGTTGGTCGAGATCCGACCACAAACGTTGTTGGTGTATGGTTGTCTAGTAGTTTTTGCTGAGCGCAGTTATCGAATCGCTGGTACGATCGCACTTGCCAGACCCCCCAGTGTGTCATCTGTCATAGGCAGGAAAGGGAGCTGTATGTCATCGGGTGTGGTCTACATCATAGTCAGTGTGGCGCTGTCGGAAGAGTTATATTCGGGAACGGGGCGGCCTTGTGTTCCAGGAGTCAGGGAACACCTATAGACGGCTAAAGAGACAGGCTGGACCCCTGAGTGGTCATTCGGTTTGCGTGCATGGGAGGCGGAGTTATGAGGTCACTCGGAGGATAATGAGACATAGAGCCCCTCACTTTAGCGCGCACACTGTTGGAGGCCTTTTGGCTAAGCGCTAAAAACTCCAAAAATATAATCAGGAAAGCTGATGCTGCCATCACCAGTGAACTCGCACCTTTTGCTGACCTTTGCGGGCTTAGAACGCCGTCGGCTCCTTGCCGATGGGCTAGGTCACCAGAGGCCACCCACAGTGAGTCAGTTTAGCGGTGGTCTCAACAAAGTCCGGCCGTACATCTAAGGTGAGTCAGCTGGTGCTTGTGGTTTATGATGCCCCCCATGGATTCTTCTGGTCTATGGGGACTATTTCGAAGTCGGAAATGATGTCTGCGGTGGGTCGCAGTGATCTTTGACTTTTCCAGGCTCTGACGAAGGCGACCAAGCCGAAACGTTAGCCGTATAAAGATCTGTAACATCTTGGCTTGTGGCTTCAAAACTACTCCAAGAATATAACATGATATTCAGCGAAAATGATTACCGCAACAGCAAATAATTCTAGAATTCAGTGCCATTTAGTCATACCTGATTAACAAGATTACACGCCATCCGCCCCGCTAGACGTGAAGATGCTGCAAGCCCGGCGGCAAGATTAGACCAATCATTCCCTGAGCTAACCTGCAAAACTCGGAGCGGCTACATTTGTATATGTTCAATGTTAGATATGTTAGATGTGATTTCTGATATCGGAAAGAAGACCTACCGCGCGGCAAATGCGCAGGTGTCTCTAGTTGTGTGAAAACACTACAAAGTTCAGCCTCAAATTATTGGGGTGAGCAAAAATTACCCGCCGATTTTTCACATTCACGGTGCTTTGAGCATTTTGCTGATTTTTTTCTAAGATCATGATGTATTCTGGTGTAATTGCTCCACTCTGAAGCTTACACGCTAGCAAAATGGATTACTCACGCTAGTGCAGTGAGCTGAGTGAAAGTTGAGCTCGAAACCGAATGCTTCTACATCTGCTCGTTAAATGAAGCCTGTGACGAAGGCACGGTTGCAGACGACTGCTCGAGCGTTCGTTGATTACGAATACGTTAATAAATTTATGAGTGAGATGAAAACGGCGGATAATTTTGCTCAACCTAAGAAGGAGGCTGCAGAATCCACTTCGTAAACTGTTAATTCACGACCTGAACAAGAACTCGACCTTCCCATCGCGATTTCCTTTCACTCGTGCCAGTTTTGAGAAGCTTTCTTTACCTATACATACAGCAGTCCAAAATCAATTGGTTTGCGGTTTTTTGAGGTTTCTCTTTTGCAAAGCAGTGAATCGTTCAAAATTCGTCGGTCATTCACCTAGCTTCCTAATCTAAAGGAAAATATCAAACGCAGCTTGAACGGGGGTTCAGACAAATTGTAGATTACGAGTTTATTGAAAGAAAGCAAAAAATCAGAATAAACTGACGTGTCCCAAAAGAACCAACAACCACACAACCACTTACATTGAGCAAGCCTAGCACCCTGTCAAAAACCGTGTATTCATTGATATATCAACCAGGTGAATATAGGATCAATCAGTGGACTTACTCTCTAGTGAGTCTATTAAATGAGTCTCTTCTAGTGAGGCATCTTCTTCCGGTTTCTTACGAATGAGACTTGGTTTTCATATCGCAGCCTCTTTGACGTACGTCTCAACTATTTCCCGTAGGGATTCTGCAACGTTTCGTACGGGCGACTAACCTAGCATCTCCACTGAAGGTACCTCATGGTGTCTAAGCCACTATTGCATGTGAGAGATACGATGCACTGAGTTGTTGCTCTGTTTGACAGACACAGTGACAGACAAAGTCTGTAAACTCTGGATCGGAACACTAGTTTTGTCAATGTGGTAACGACTTAAACCATTGTGCTTCTGACATGCAGGAGCGCTTACAGTATGAGGTATTTTAAAGTGGGTGGCCTAGTCAGTTCCTGCGCCAATCATGACAGAACCACTAAAAGAGGAGCTACAAAAAGTCTGTCGAAAAAATAGTCACGAATATGAGCTAATATCCCATTCAGGGAAAAAACGAAGCTCACTAGAAAGCGAGTGCATTATAACCCCACCAGATTGGTCCCCCGGCAAGCGCCGGAACCTCCCTACCTTGCGTAAGCTTTCCCTTCTTTCTCCTCTCCTTACTCTCCCCTCGTTCCCCTCTGCTCGCCGGCTACCACAGCATCACCTTGTCGAATGACCGAAAGTGTGCTAAGTGAGTGTTTATATAGCCGTTGGGGATGCTATCACAATCATGCCATTGCAAAACACTAATAGCTAAAGTCCTGTGAACTACAGGATTTTGTTAGCGATTTGCTTATCCCATGAGCTTCCTTCTCACTCAATTCATTTTGCGGTACGGCACACACAGACATGCACATACATACACACACATACAGCCATCCAAGCCGACACACAAAGTTAGCGCTTTATAAAATAGAAGGATATTTACTCAGTATATGTATCAACCAGTATATGTATGATTTGGCCGTGTAGGCGATTATTATATCGGGTTATATGTCATTTGAAGAAACTCACTACATTGTTTTTCGCCTGCTTCCAATAAATACGAACAATCTATAATTGTTTCAACCCTGGCTTCAGCTGAATATTAATATAATATATTATGTCTGTGGATTGAAACACAACATAAATGGTTCGAGTTCGGAGACCATTTAGTGACATTCAGAACAGGAAACCTCAAAGAACTGCTTGTCCATTGATTTTTTCCGCTACTGTAAATCGCGACAGGACAACGAACATAAAAGACAGGAAGAGAAGAGAGTATACATAAAGCGATTTTTCACAAACACTTAACCATGGGCAGGTGTGAATTCACCTCGACACATACCTCCCAGAACGAATTCCAGGGGCGCGATGCTACCTGCTAAATCGCCCGTGATAGGCCTCCTGAGCGACACCCGTGACCAGGGCAAGCGTGCGTTGAGGAATCTTACGTAGGTGGACGGGGGGTCGTATGTGGCTCGCTGGTAGGTAGGAGTCGGGCCGCACCGATGCAGTAGGATCATCAGTGTTGGACGACAAACATCAAGGATGTGATCGATGCAGTGCAAGCTTAGCTGAAGGGTTTCCAATAACAATGTTGTTCCGTCCCATAAAATTTTCGTGCTTCGAAGGGAGCCGCATAGTGATTCCTAGCTACTTCAGTTATTTATCACACAAAGTAAAAATCCGCACATTTCCAAGGATATTTCGCCATTCAAGTGAATCCACCAACATGAAAGGATGTGAAGCGCAAAGCGCGTCCCAGAGCAAATCATTGCACGCGCTTCTATAATAGTACGTCTCTCTGAAGAAAAGCCTCGAATAGGAAACATCAAGAGGATTCTGAAAGAGGTGTGTAAAATGGAAGGGACGAGCCCAATATTCAAAAAAAAATGCAGTTTTCAGCGTCAAATTCATAAGCAGGAAATCGTAACGTTGAGATTTTCTGAACAGTCTAGCACATATTAGAAAGACAAAAGCACACGGATTCCGAATCCGCTCCCACATTGTACATAATTGCATACGAAAGGAGCTAAAGAAAGCCAACGCAGCGGAAAAAGACCTTTCGGCGGTATCAGGCAAAAATCTCGACGAGGCCAATTTTAAATACTAGACGAATTGAGCAGTTTTAGTAACCGCTGAGCAGAGCAAATCTTCTAGCTTTCGATGACGTATTAACTTTCCGGATTGGACGAATTTGAACGGAGTTAGGGCTTTGGAAAGTGTAAAAACTCACTACGAATTTTCCTCGTGGTCGATCCAAATTTATTATTTCCAACCAATTTTCATGAATTTGATGTCGACTAGGAATAGGTGTTAACAAAACCCCAAATCTGTTTTCAGATTGAAAATCGTTCACTTTAAAGAAAGTTATAGTCATATGTGTGCACAAATTTCAGTAGTAGATAAGCTGCTCCAAGGTCAACGCCTATGATCAATCAGTCCACTGCTAGTTAAGGCGGTTACAAGGCTTTTGCCAATCAAAAGGTGGACGTGTAGATTAAGAACATACTCTGTGTAAAACTGGAACTTGATGAGCCTTTTAAAAGGAATAAGAAAATAAAAGAAGAGATGGTGTCAAATATGCTAGCTTCATGATTACTCGTCGTTTTTTGCTCCATTTGTCGGTGAAACTCATTGTTAGTGACTTTTCCTTGGATTTTGTTTACTTGTTGAACCACTTCTATGATGGATGAGGTAGCCGGTTTGCCTTTCGATGAAAGGTTTTCGGGGAGGGTGAAACAACTTCATATTTCCTTCGTGAGAAGAGTTGTTTCAGGGACTTCGGCTTCTAGGGACGAGAGGGGGTCCTATTCAAAATTATCCTCGACGCCTCGCTTGACCCTGCTCTTGACCTTTGTCAAACTCACCACCATCTGGTACGTCAAGCACTGAAAGTGAATCCTTTGGAGACGGTATCCATAATTCTTTGAATTTGGATTCATTCTGTCGCGTCCAAAAGTCCTGAGCAACCAGTCGAGCATCTCAACAACCTGAATATTCAATAAATTATTGTATTTCTCAACAGCCGTTAGGAGTAGCATTTCGTCAGCACATGATATATGTTGGAGCCGTACACTGCGGGTCGAAGGTCTGTCTTTCTGTCGGCCGGAGACACCCCATTAGTGAGGGGTAGGAAGTGAGTCCTTGGCCAGTGGAGAAGCAGAGGGCAGAAGGTCTTGCTAAAGAATGCTAGGTGCAGCCTCGGGAAGGACCACACACATTCGTGTAGAGTAAATGCGAGGATGCTATTGAGTGATTGTTGCTCCTCTTCAGAATGAACGCGAGTCCCAATCAAGTTTGAGTTCTATAGGCGGTCGGCAACAACACAACGACAGAAAGCAATGGATAAGAAAAATTCCCAACTGAGCTATCCTATATTTTAGAGTGTTAAAATGCTTTCATACTTCGCGCCGGTGCGGTCGGTGCCGACGGCGCCGACCGCACCGACAGTGCGAGAGCGTCAATACGCGCTGTGGCGCATCACGCGTACATTGGGCGCAGATCGCGATCGTAATCCTGGTTTTGGTGTATTTCTTGTCGTTTTCGATGTTTTTTTTTGCGCCGTGTTGCTTTTATTCTTGTGTTATCTGCTCATACTTATTCTTTTATGTCTGCTTGCATAACTTTCAGTTGTTCCGCGGACGAGCGACTTCGTAGAACCCCGTCGTACCATCCCGGGTGAAAGCGGCTATACCGGCCGAGTTCATCATAAGCAAATTTGTTTATTCAAGTGAGCTCTATAATTTTGGAAGGTGCTTTTTCTTTTTTTATCACTGAGTTTTGCGTGTACTGCTTTTACAATGGAATCCAGCACTTGCCGCTAGCTACTGCACCGGCTATGTGTCTGTCGGCAAAATGAAGGAATATGTATACATATACTTTAAACTGACATGACATGCACTGTAAGACTAATGCAAAACTTATTTCAGGACTATTAAAGCCTAATATGGACGAGCAATAAAATGCGTATAAAACCGCTTCTAATTTTTAAAAATCCAACGCTGTGCGACAGATTCTCAGTGTCCCGAAGCGTCGCCCCATGGTAACTACCTTGAAAGCCGGAAACTTCAACGGATGTTTATATTTTCTGCATCAAGAACTCGTCCCTCTGTGGCGAGTCTAACTGTGTGCGAAATTACGAATTTGGTTGGACAGGTAACAAGTTATTAAATGAAAACTATCGTCGATGCCTCGTTCGACAATCTCGCCTCATCTCATTTCCATTATCTCTCCTATCGGGGCCAGCTCTTAGCAGGGAACGGTAAGAATCGTCCTATCGTCGCGCCGCCGCGCGCGATCACTCGCTCGGTGTCGTTACGCGGCGATTGTCGGAGAGGCGCGGGATTTTTCAATTTGACGGTTGCAGCAGCAATTTGCTACACTCCACAACAATCCATGTCGAGCACGACTCTACATAGTATGTGCAAAAAATTTTGTTTTCGAAGTTTATAATCGCATACTGGAAAATGCAAATAAAAAATGCTCGAAGAAATTAAAACGATGCCGCATTGATTGAAGTTGAATGTTGAAGAGATAGACTTACTGGGTGTTCCTTCAACGTATACAGAATGCGCACACAAAAAGTCGTCCATGCACTTGCGGTGACGTACTTTAGTACTTTTGATTCCCAAATGGCGCTAATTATCTCCAAATGAAATGGTCATGAGGTCTCTGGTCTGAGTCATGGTATGCTGCGCGGCGGGTTTTGCCAAGTTTATCGGTTCCACGTGGGTGGTCGGCATACCCGTGTTTCGAAGTGCCGATGAGCTCCCATGACCCCGTCAGTGGCGCAAAGGGCATCATGGCCGACTGGTGCTGGCTTACCCTGCAGCGTGTATCCCATTTATCTCCAGGCCAGAGCCTTCATAGCCCTTTGAGATTTTAACTCAAAGTTAGTGTCAGTTCCAGTAAGTAGAGCCATTCTTACTTTTCGGCTCTTGATTTAGGGAAAGCTTCCTGCCTGAACGACTTTCTTTCGTTTGTATTCTCTTGTTGTCATTCTTTCTATAACGTGTCCACTAATCACGGGTTTTTATAGCTGGTTATTTTTGTTTCTATTCATTCCTTTTCATTTGTTCTTTTCTGAATCTGCATTACAATTTTGCGTGCAGCCAAATGTTTCACTAAGGGCGTCATTGAATGCACAGATAAAGTAAATAACTAAAATAAATAAATAAATAAACACGTCTACCGTTCAAAGATCTCCCTCCTTATGTGAGAGAGTGAAAGTGACAAGATGATTAAAAAACTACAGATTATTCTTCTCTGAACAAGACCCAATTTTTTTAATCCCCTTCTCCAAAAATCGCTTCGCTGATTCGTTTCTTGTAAACATGTTGGTTTTCCTCTTTGAACTGCTATAGCTTTCTTCAGATTTACTTTTTGCACATTTTTACATCCTGTAAGAAACTAGAGTTGGTGCTTTCAAAATGATCTCGCTTTAAGACTAAAGGGGGTAAAAAAATGATCCCGTTTGTCGACCGAATTTGTCGGGCTATTCTTCTGAAAACGTCAGTCTTCAGACTTCAAATGCTTGAACCTCCTTTCAGAATTATTTATGCTAAAACGGGCAAACGAATTGGAAACGAGTATTGCGCTTTCTAAGAGATACTTCATCGTCCCTGGGAATCCAACCACTCTCATGTTCTTCTTTTCTAGAAATTTTCTTCTGAGCCTTGAGAAGGAAGTTCACCTGACCAGTGAGTGGTTACTCTTTCCTTGCGTAGGCATGGTCCGAAAATGTCGGGTTTGCTGAGAGCAATATTTGGGTCTGTGGACAACCATATACGAATTGGTTCGCCGGAACTACTCCTCTGAGATGCGCTATGCACTCCTTTTTGAGGATATTTGAAAAGAACTTTTTGCGCACGGAAAAATCCTCCTAAAAACTCAGAAAAAACTGAGACTGACTTGCTGTTTGTTTATAGAGACGAAACTATCGTGGTATTTTAGCTCGCAAGCTTCAAGATCATTAGAGTGCTGTTCAAAGGCGCTTCCTACCGTACAAACAACGCACAACCGATGCATTTTCTAATAATCATTCTCTCCTCCTCTAGGAGCTATGCCTCTGTTCTCACCTACGGTAGTACCTCATAGAGATAGAGAGCAAACTCCACACTAGATGGAATGGCGCTAAATTTGCGATATTCTCTCACACCAAAACATGTAGCTGAGCTGAAGCTCGCCTCAATGCTAGAGTTGTTTAGAAGAGTGCGCGGAATTTTTTGAAGAAGCGAGCATCTTGGCGTTAACGTCCAATCGTAGGTGGCCAAAGTCCAAAAGGGAGGCGTTATGGAGCCATCAAGGGGGAGCTAAGAGCTGGTCCCCGATAGGAGATAGTATGGAAATGAGGAGAGGCGAGACTGTCAAGGGGGGATCGTTGAATACCTTAATCTACCTCTAACTTAATCTTAAAACCAATCCAACCAAATTCATAGTTTCGCACACAAATAGACTCGTAACGGAGAGACGAATCCATTGGCATAGAGATCCACTCATTTCACCCGTTCTTGTGGGAGCTACGACGGGGATGCTTTCTGAGCTGAAAATCTGTCGCATAACGACAGATTTTCAGCTTTCAGCTGTTTCCAAAAATTAGGAGAAATGAACTTGCTATGCCACAAAACAAACTGCTGCCCAGTTTACAGATGTATCACTCTTATAAATATGCAAATGAGCCACAAGCTACTGTTGTTTTCGAGAGCTGAACTCCGAGTGACATCGATTTTCTTTTCCCATTAGAATAAACCACCCACTGCTATCATTTTAGGCATACGAGCTTCTATATTAGGCATTTGATATGACCCACCTTATGTGCGTGTACAGTACCGGCTTGTACAGGATACTCCTCCATGTGTGGTCCTCCAGCCACGTGTGATAAAAACGCTAATTCTTGTTCGTTTATGCCCAAAGAATCGACGTGGGGGATGATCTAAATTACGTGGTAGTTTCGCAGCTAGTTTCGTCAAGAGAATTCATGAAATCATCATATTTTTCAGCAGTCTCTCCAGAAACTTACCCCCACATAACTGAAAAAGAGCCGAATTGATAAAAAAATGATATTACACTTCCGACTCGCTCTTTATTTGATAACCAGCTTCGCTCCGCTCGCTGCTATGCGCATATCAAAGTAGGTTTTAATGGAACTGAGTACAGCTGAGCTCTTGTATTAGACAGCATACATGCTTTCATTGCTTGTGACTGATGGGATCAACGAAAAGCTTCTACTGCTGGTGATGAGCAGTCATTTTCCGTAGCTCGTCAGTACTCATGAACATCCATTCTTTGGGAAGTGACATTTTCTAGTGGCCGAATAAGCATTGAAAACTAACACAACTCTTGAACTGCTTACTTCCAGCCATCGGCGTAAACAACTAAAATGGTGTTAATGCTGGGAAGGCTCAGCGATTGAATTAGTTTTCGGTGGCCATGATATTGCAATAGAAACACCCAAGAGCATGTCATGCTTCCATGAACAGCGACCATCTTCTGAATAATGGAGAGCTTAGCGGTCGGAAAGATCTCGATGTTGGCGACGACAACGCGAATGGAATGGGATGTTCTCTCACTGATCATCTAGATAACAAGATTAGTGACTCCTTTGCCCTAATGCTCCATCATATCACTCCTTATCGGCTGTTAAAGGAATCCTTCGCGGAAAAATCATGCTCTTATTTGGTCCACAAATCACTACATTGAGACTCATTATCCACGATAAGAATGTAAAGAACAGAAATATTGCTTTCGTTCTGGTAAAAAAAAAATACAAAAAATCGAAAGGGCTGCTAGGCGTTCAAAGAGCCCACGGACGTCTTTCACAAATACCGGCAACGGGGATGCTTCCACTTACCAGGAAAGGCATTCAACTTCCCATGGAACTTTGAAATGAGACCCCTATATATCGATAGAGCTTCAAACGCTGATTACAAATATGGAAACTAAAACTGCAAAATGAACCTGCCAAGGAAGTTGTGAGCAGTCAAAGTTGCCTGGAAGTGAAGCATTACACTAGCCTCCGGGCTTTCAAAGTCGCCTTGGAGTAGTGGTGGTGCCCTCGCTATTCACCCTGGGGGTCATAAGCTCTCCTCCCGTCGGAGCGCAAATTCCGAGAGCACTATCACTACTCCAAGGCGACTTTGAAAGCCCGGAGGCTAGTGTAATGCTTCACTTCCAGGCAACTTTGACTGCTCACAACTTCCTTGGCAGGTTTATTTTGCAGTTTTAGTTTCCATGTTTGTAATCAGCGTTTGAAGCTCTATCAAAATATCTGGGTCTCATCTCAAAGTTCCATGGGAAGTTGGATGCCTTTCCTGGTTAGTTCTCAGAGTGCCTTCATTAGAAACTCCTTCTGGCTTCCTGCTTTATTGTATTCACATCTTACACTTCTTCTGCATCATACTCTATCGATTGTTTGCCTCTATTCTCCAAAATCGATCACTTCACCCGGATTCCGTCATTGCGTCGCCTGATACGTAGTCGGCCACAGGCCAACTTCTTCCCATGTCTCGTATGGCTCCGCCCGAATTACCTTCGATGTCCATAAAGTGTAGTTTTTAGACGTTTATTTCTACGGGAACCGAATCTTCATGCGTGAAACTTTGCGTGCTGTTTCCATTGATCACAACTGACACATCCGTGTCAAGAAAGAACGCAAGAATTTTCCGCGAAGGATTCCTTTAAGACTCCCTGTCCCTTCGCATGCATGTTTAAGCTCGCCCTCTGCATCGTACCTCAGAGCAACCGCAATGTTGCAGAGCGGTGCACATGGAGCCCGTGACACTTGCGTTCCAATGCTCCTTATCGTATCTTACCCGCTTTTTTCACATTCTGCCCCCCCCCCCAAATGTGTTCCGTATGACATATCTTGAAATTAACTCCTGATGACTGCTGGTCCATACTCTATGAATTTCTTGACACTTGCGTTCTAACGCCCCTTATAGGAACATATTAGCTGTTATCACCTTCTGTACCTCGCTGAATATGTTCGCGTCCCACAAACACCCTCTACATCCCTACATCATACCTTAGAAATTCCTGACGATTGCTGATAAGCACGCTATGAATTTCTCGACACTTTCATTCTAGCGCCCTCTATCGGATCTTATCAACTGTTACTACCTTCTGTACCCCACCAAATACTTATACTACAACAAAAAATACTTCAAAAAAAACTTTAAAACGTTTCTGATACAGCCTAGAGACAGGGAAATACAGGATGAAGGCCGACGAGGAAGGAAGGCGAGATTTGAGGGCTAGGGGGCACTGAAGCGGGCAGCATTTTCTACGAGAATCTTGAAATCGTTTCTCAGAAAGCACATTGATAGGGAAAAGGTGGATTGACACAGGCGAAGGAGGAGAGGTCAAATGGGCATGGTGGATAAAACGTGCACCGAGGTGGATGGGAAACACTACGATTCGTTTAAAGCAAGCCAGGAACAGGAAAAGTGTAGATTGATGCTAAGGAAGGAGGGGAGGTCAAGCGATCAAGGTCAGATGGGTGGAGCGTGCGCCGAAGTAGGCAAATTATTGGTGGATCCCCATAGTTTTTCAAGCTCCGAGTTCAAGCAACAACCCCAAATGGGGTAGTTTCGGACAATCTGCCCCGAGGATGAAGCAGAGTAGGCGGCGAGATCACAGTTGTGACGTTGTCACGGACCGAAAATGCGCGACAATGGCGCTGGGGCCTTATAACGTGAGTTAGTGACGGCTAAAGGGAGCCAAAGGGCAAGATACCCCGCGCACACTACATGACACGCAACGTGGGTTACGATCTGGCAGCTATAATAATTCGAATCTGCGCGGGTTAGTGGAGCCATTTAGCATGGCAACTCTTACAGACATCTTCCCTCTTCAGGGGAAAGGGAGGCGATCCCTGCTTAAGGACTTCATCGTAATTTGTTTTGCTTTTTTTCATTTTCAATCAAGCCAGCATTCCATATCTCATTGTCGAGCACTACTACGCTAATTTTATCTGACGCTGTTATTTCAAGTTTCTAGATGGAAGGAGGGAAGGGCAATGCTGAAGCAAGGATGTTGTTGGGCCCCATTTCTATGAGGAACCCGTTGCGCGCGACAATGTGCAGTGACACTGTCAAACTGGTATATAATAACTGAAGAAGAAAATCTCACTCTGTGGAGAATATCGAACATAAATGTGGCATCAGCAAGACTTCCCAGTTCAAAGTGAATTGGCGTCTGTAATGAATAAATTGAAATCCTTCTCCATATTACATTAATGCGAACCCGATGAAAAACAAAATACCTTCGATGATATCTGAAGAAGATTGCGCCGAATCATTCGCAATTTTTCGAGACGCATCTCCTTATTCTAGGAATCGCATTTCAAATCCTTGTTCAAGCTATGCCTACGCAACACTTACTTGGAATTCCAACGTGTGTATACCGGAAATGATTATCAGATCTGGCTTGAATTGAGCAATTGCTTTGAAGAACATCTCCATCACAACTGTACTTCCGCTGAAAGACTCATATGGAGCAGGTGATTCTGCGATTTTCGATTACTCAAATTTAACTATGAATACGAAATCATAACACAAAAAGTTGACCAAAGATCCTATGCGGAAAAAAAGTAAATTCGGGGCTACTTGTTCACGGCATATTTGCGTGGATACACTCCTCCAGAGTTCCATAACAAGCAGTAGGAGCGATCGCAAACGAGCACACAGCTCTTTCTCTGATAAAGCGTTTTTATGCTGCTACCGTCCTGTATAGGAGCTAATATTCCGAACAACTCCATTATAAATGCTCCACCATTCCATTGTGCATGAGTGGAGGACTTCCCATTCATAATAGGAGCACATCGTAGCTCAACACCGTCTGAGAATGAGAAATTCCGAAGAAATTTTAAGATGGCATAAGCAACTGACGCAGTCCATTGTCTTCGAAAAAACTTAGCAATTTAAATTCCCGCGTTAACCAAAATCAAAAAACATTCTTAGTTTTCATCACGCCAGAAACAATGGTTGCTGTAAAAATTTATGGAAGTTCAAATCGTCAGAAAATTGTAAAATAAGCATGAAAATTGAACATAAAATAAAATAAAATTGGCATAAGCAAATGACGCGCACTGTATATTGAGAATTTGAAACAACACAAATTTTCTTGACGGCGATTTGGTGTGCTATTGTTCATTATCATAAATTATTAGTATTTCATCAATATGTACAGTAGTAAGAATGATACAATTACAGAGGGTGTCTCACAATTGCTTGCGCCAAAATTCAAAAATTCATCAGATGAGGCGTATAGATCATTTTCATTTCGCGCACCACTAATTAGTTGTGCAGTTAGGTTTTTCTCGTAAACGGCATCGGTACTGTGGTAAAAGATTCAACGATGTAGGGGATCGCTTATTCACAAGCCCGGACGAAGTATAGTCAGCGCTCTACTGGCTAGAATTATTAAAATGGTTAGCTAGCGATCCACGATACTCTATCGTAAGGATGGCGAGAGCTGAACTCATGGAAGTCATCAATGGGCGCATTGTCAAAGAAGAGCCGCACAGCCGACCCTATCATATGCAGAAGTGGCAGTTCATTTCGAAGAGTGGCGAAAAAGTTGGAAGGTTACAAGCGCGCTTCACTGGCGATACGCCACACTGTTTTTTTTCTGACGTGAAAATATAGCTGTGGAGCTGGTATTAATCGAATTGCCAAACCGATCACATTCCAGCTGAAAATACCGAGAGTGCCATCTCACGAAAGAAGATTGTTGGAAGAGGGGCTAACCCGGCATCATTCACGATTCTGGTGTAATCACGACCAATGTTAGAAGCCGTTGGCTTTCTCTGGTTCGGGTGTGAAGATCAACAAACGTGCATACTGGAGGACGTATTGAGGCTCTGCTTCAGCTCCAATACGGAGACAGTGCTCTCAGCAGGACAGTGCTCCAGCAAACGGGGCCGAGCTCGTTCAAGACAGATTCGAGCTGCGAGCTGTCCGACTTTGGGGGTGAAAGATAATGTGAGCGCGGAGAAGGAAATGGGAGTCCGAGATGAGATCATAGCAGATCAGCTTTGCGATGCCAAAACACACGATATAGAGGGTGGCCCTTGATACTTCCGGTGGAATTTGGTCGAAGCCCTCAGTTCCTAGAGTTCTTGCACCGTGTTTCCATGTGCGAAGGTAGCAGACCTTTACAGCGGTGGAGCACACACCTTTATTCACAATCGTGGTCTTGTTTATGGGTAGCATAGAACCACCGCTCATTGTAAACAGTAGCGGCGGTTCAGCAACCGCGTAAGGGTGTAACAGTATAAAATACAGGAGCGGGCCATTAAAAAGACGTTTTGTCACCACATTCAGATGGTTTTAATCACACTCTGCTGATTCAAACCGAATAGTTCCAAACTCAAGTTGAAGAGCACATTTTACAGGAAATCTTCATAATGGCCACCTACGTGGACGACATCAGAAAAATTTGCCCTGGAAACATGGTGCGTTGGTCGAGCTCAGTGGGGTCTTCGAAGATGGTGAAGAGACGTTCTATTCCGTCAGCACCAGGAATGTCATCTCCAATGCTTTCCGCACGTTGTTTTCGATGGAAATCGAGTTGGGCGACGTTAGTTTGGTAGAAATGTTGATGGGAATAACGGAGAATAAGTTTAACTCCGTTTCGCATGTGTCCTTTAACGGAAGCCAGACTTGAAGAATATCCTCACTTCGGGCGCCTGAGTGAAGGAAGAGAGGAAATAGCATTGAATGAGCTTATTCATGAAAAGGAAAAAGAAGCGTCTATTACGAAAAAACTTGAGGATATGAGGATGTATCTAGAGCCGCCACTCAAACCTGCTCTCATTCGCGAATAGCACACGATTCCTTTCAGAACTAGTCCGTTCCTGAACTCTCGGCACCATTGTGAACGGTCTCTCCAATGCGCGGGTTTCATCGGAATGCAAACTAGTGGTCGCAAGGTACTGATACCATCCCTATACGCTCGCCATGTTCTACTGACCTTTAGCATGCGTGCTCTAAACCCTATCAAATGGGGATGCAAATGCAACCAGTGAGTGAAGTGCGCTTTACTTCCCTGCTGAAAAAGGTAACGGTCATCTTCTGCTGTGACTGTGGATCTTGATCCCCTAAACAACGCAGCAAATTCTTGCATGCATGAGGCCTTCACCTGTACTCTGCGGGCCCTGTGTAATGAGGAACATTATCACAGTGTATAGTAACTGCTCGCTGAGTGACACATTGTGTCTGTTCTCATTCAGTCCAACGCCCCACATCGGCCTCCACTATCTGGAACCGCATCCCAGCAAGTTTGGGATTGTGGATTTGTTCACCTTCAAGGTGTTATTACTATCCGTTAATTCCTGACACCAGTAAATTTTCTGTCAAAGCGTTCAAAACTTATGGAACGCTGAGAAAATTCCGTAAGCATACGACGTATCACTTTCTCAGCTTCTCAGTGAAATACTTCTCGGAATCGCAAGCCTAAAACTTATCACAACCAAAATAATCAAGACACATATCTCGAATAGAGCCGAAATTAAGGTTTCGGATATCGTATGAAATAAATTAGACGGATAACAGAGGCCGCAGGAACGGCTGTTACAGTAATCCGCCGCCGCAATAAATCGATGCCACGTGGCATTCGACGTGCCTCTTTTGTCGTTTTTCTCAACTCCAACGAAGAGCGCGGAGCATTGGCTGCGTGTAATTTTGAGCAGCACCCGCCTCGCCGCTCTAGCGGCGAGGCATGTGCTGCATGTATTTTTGGATAGTCACCCACGGTAAGGGTGGCTTTGGTGACAAGACGGTAATCGCAGACCGTGGAGTGAGCGTTCAATCCATCCAATTCGTTGAAAGGGCGCGGCTACGGGTTACGGTAACAGTCGCTCCGCAGCCTTTGTTATCTGTCTTGTATGAAATAAATGAAGTCTGGGCCTTGTTAGAAGAACTTTGGTTACGATTCCCACGAATTGGCGGAAATCCAACTTCTATGCATGAACTATGCACCTTTGCACGCTTTAGCTAGTCGCATTGGGTGTGGTTCATTAGGACAGAAAGCAACTTTTTCGCGTTTCGCAGCGCGAAACACTCTCCACTGCGGGAACCTCGGTCCACCGCTGATACCAGTGGACCCGAGGTTCCCACAGCGAATCATCAATGCACCCGAGATTCCCGCAATGAACAATGTTTCGCGCTGCAAAACGCGAAAAAGTCGCTTTTTGTCCTAATGAACCACACCCTAACGCATTCACACTAGGAATAATAATGCAACTGTTAATGCAGGCTTTTTTGACAAAATCCAATACGCTTGAGAAAAATGCAAAACGCATCGTGGATAGACGCATTCATGAAGAAAAAAGTGAAAAAGCAGTACCTGAAATGATCGTGACTCGTGATAAATCGACTACTACTGGGAGCGATCCAATCGCCCAAAGTTTCGCCCTGCTTGTACTCCAAGATGACGTGGAGTTCATCCTTAAAAAGAAAAGTGCTAACCCATGCTCGCTACACATTTTAGATAGCTTGAGATATTCCTAATACTAAGTGCATAGACATAAGTAAGTTTGTACACTCCATTTTGGAAGGAGCGGAGGTGCCAGCTTACGCGCAAAAAAGAAGTCCTTGTGCGCCAACGAACTGGTCCACTATTCTTAGCCAAATCAATCTGATGCCTAGACTACAGTGTCTCAGAAATTCGTGCGGGTGTTGAAATTTTGCAGTGTATTTCAAGAAAGACACTGTCAAAAATGTACGCATCGTCCCAACCAGTGACTTGATTCCGATAAGCAAGGAAAGTAAAAAAAAATCTATTCTCAGAAGGTGAATGGCTCCGAGCTAAAAAGGCAGTTAAGTCGACTTCGTGGACCTTCCGGATCATTTCTGAGCGCTATCATGAAACACCGGGGTATCCTCGCAGACTAGGCTTAGGAAAGCAGGAACTCCGAGGAAGGCCTTTAGTTGAGTCCTGCTTTTACGAGAAAGGTTTTAAACGGTCGCAAACGCACTACCACAACAATAAACAATTTGCTGATCAGCAAGAATGGGTGGCAGTCAGGAATAGGATGAGGAGCGCTGTACGATGAATTTGCAATGAATTCTTCAAGATAATGTGCTGCGTCATCTCTGCATTAAGTGGTCTCGGTTGTTGTGAAGCGAACATATAGAGTTGTTCGTAAAGTTCTGCGCCACTTCGTGCTGAGACAGGATATTCACTACTAAACATAACATCCAATCAAAAAGACTACCGCCACAAGCTCATAGGAGATGTCCCCATTCTCCAGACAGCTTCGGCACTGTCGTAGCTCAGAATCCCGACGACTGTCACGAAAAGCAGTAAATATAATTTCCGAGCTGGTTGTGATCATCGTATTTTTCTCGTCTTGATTACGCTTACGTTAGATGCACTGAGGGCGCATAGTCGGAAGCCCATAAGTTTCACGAGTACGCTGATCGTGAGTACTGCAGTGTTTCTCAACAGTAATCCATGCCCTTTTGTTACAATGCAGTAGCGAGGACATGTATGGTACACATAATGCACCAGCTACACTCATGAGTCACTGTTTCCTTGTGATGCGGAGAAGAGAGACTCAGCCACGAGCATTCGGTCCGTCTGATCAGGTTGCCGCAATCATGTGGTACCCGCTCGAACATATTGCGCAGATCGTGGAGAATCTCCGTAACTATACAATGAGTGCAGCTGAACGTTGTTGCTAAACTGTCGTTGGTGTACGTTCATTCAGCATATTCATTCGACTGCGTCTCCAGGAAGGTAAGCAAACGCTCACCATTACTGTACGACGGGCTCACAAGAACACTAGTGCACTTTGAATGAAACGTCTGGCTACACGGCTCCACACCACGGCCTGGGAATTATCTCCTTCTCCAATACAGCGCGGATACTAGCTGCAACTATATCAAACAGAAGCGCGACGAGCGTGGTGCGCGCGATAGCGTGCGGAGAAGAAGTGGCTCACTACAAAGAACGCGCCCATCACAGCAAAGGTGACACGATTTGAAAATCGCTGAAGTATTTACAGACACGAGATTAAAAAATACGCAAGAACTTCTGGACACTCCAATATTATTCGACTGTGAGAGGTCAGGAAGTAAGAGGTATGTATCTCATGCAGGCATCAATCCATGGCTTTGTTACTATTACTGGTTCCACCATTGTGTTCTTGACCATGCGAATTATCTCGATCTCTTCCGCATTCACGAATGACTTCTTTCAGAAACAATACATTGAGCCCCCAGTTTTTAAGCACATTGTCGTAACCGTGTGCGCTCACCTTGCGGCGACGTCGACTTTCCGCCCCGTGGCCCGCGTGCGCCACATGTGGCGCACTTCTTGGAATTGTTTTCTTCAGCAGTGCTGTCGATGTATTCCATTTTGCGCATGATTATGTTATGCTCACTAGAGAACAACATAACTTACTGACACTCCAGCTTGGTATTGTTTATGTGCCCACTAATAAGAGCCTAGGTTGCTAATTAACTTTCTTGAATAAAACATTCTCTCGAGCAAAGCAACAGTCCCGCAATCATATATAGTACCGGAAAAAAATCTTAGAGTGTCGCTTTCTGAGTTCAGGAAGTTTTGGGGCCGATTACTATGGAAAATCGAATATCCCAGAAGCAGTTTTTGCTCCATTAACTATTTGCGAAATATTTGCTGTACCGTCTTCTATTGTGGTTCACATTAACTTTCCCCAATTTTTATAGCTTTCTTCTGAAATATTCCTGGGTCCAGTGTGCAAAATCCCATTGTGTGACCAAATGCATCAAAAAATCTGCTGAAGCTAACCCCGCCACCAAACCCATCATTGCATTTGATGGAGGGCAACTAAAACATTTAAATGCTCATCCGGTTTTCACGAGTTTCTTAAAACAGTAAAATCTTTGAAGGATCCCAACCAGTCGCCAAAAAGGGTTCCTAGCTAAATCAGTCAAAACGGCTGCACCATTTCTGGGAATAACACCCAGCATTACTGATCGCGGTCACCCATACGCTCAAACGAAGTTGATTGACGCAAGAAAATCAATACTGTGGCTCATTCGCTACTTCACAGTGTCTCCAAACAAGGTCGCTTTGACCCACACGTGAACAAAATTCCGGAAAAATTGTCCATGAGCTGGTAAGATAATAAATTTCACAACAGTGCAGACCTAACTCTTCCAAATGTATACATCTTGCCAGCCAACTCGCAAAGTCAGAGGAAGTGAATTTGTCAATATGTAAATTCGACCTCCTCTCTTTTCGGGTCTCAAAAATTCTCTAACTTAATGCACCGAGGTCACTCATACTGGTCAATTAAGTGCTAATGAGTCATTCGCTGAATGCCGTTTCCAACTCACCGATTTTGAATTAAAATATGTGTCCAAACTCGCGGATAAAACGCACCATAAATATATCCGTTACCACAATAGCTTAATCCAACAACTGAACTGCAATAATGTATTTCAGCACCAAAGCTTCGCGTGAAACAAGATTCCAAACGGAACATAGCACTAAAGGCTTCGGGCGCTCTTCACTAAACTTGCCTTTTGCTGATATTGAAGTCTCGTGTGTAGGCACCATCTCAAATAACTTCACTTGAACATCCTACTCGTGCTTGGCGGCTACCACTCGTACAAATGATTAATAATCAATTTTCGCGCCCAATTAGGGTCCATACACCCACATCCCTGAAGTCAGTGAGTAAAAATGCACCTACCGAATCTCCGTAACCTGAATAAACCTCAATGCGTTCAATAACTATGCTTAACGTGTAGGTAACCAGACGAACTTGTGGCCACGCTTTTCACCAGATACTGTCAAAGCAGATTTTTTGATCCCCAACATACCTGCTGTACATAATCATCATAGCCAACTTGAACGTTCATGACACATTCAAATAGGCAAAAAATATAACGTAAGTCCTAACAAATTGTGACTTGCAAGACAATAAAAAAAACAAATGTTAAAGACCCTACTAAAAAAGATTTTGAAAATATCTGTCCCGTGGTCCGCAATTCGCCACCATGTGGCCATGGTCAATGCATGGGCGGCCAGGCGAGCTCGCCAGCGCAAAAACGGCTTGGTACGCAATGTGTTGAAATCTGCGAATTCTTTTTCCTTTTGATTATACTGTATGACTACGTTTACAATGTTGAAGTCCAGCAAGGCATCACCCATCTCACTACATCACCATAAAATCACCTTTGTAATTCGAGTAGAATTCGTTCTTCTGACCGAAGGATTTAATAGCGCCTGGCTTCTGGGGCCAATCGGACCAACAAGATAGACCTTAAAACAGACATGACATACGGTGTTAACAACGAATCTCAATCACGAATTGTTCACCTCTGTACTTGGAAATCCAGATGCAATTCGTTCTGCCATAAGAGCAGCATTACCTCCGATATGATACTGAGCTCGAGGTATAGCTGACTCCACTTGGCGAACCACTGTCTCAAATGTGCTTTCCGAAGACATATATCTGTAAGGGAAATTCCGAATTTAGTTTCAACTAGCATTTCTTCACTTACTCGCGTTTTTTTTTACTAAAGTGATGAAGGCAGAACCATCGCTGCAGTTTATAATTGGATTATTAGGTTGTTGCAGTAGAAGTGTTGTTTTGGGTGAAAACAAAAACTGTTGAAACAGCAGATTACGCTGGAAGTAATTAGTGCACCGTTCATCGGATTAGATTATACAGGAATGGCCAAAAAAGAGAGAAAGATTTGCTCATGCACATCAAACTTTTCTCCGCAGAGGGTGCCGCTGTTAATGAAAGTTTTGAGCCAGAATATCCCTTTGATGTCCTCCCATTAATGGAAACAGTCCCTCCTTCACTGCCCTCACCGTCTCCAAAATATAACGTCATCTTACATCACCGTTCTGCCTAAAAGTGCGAACGATTTGCAGAGCTGCTCGAGTTGCGTCCTGAGCGCACTCCGATCTATAGGCTCATCTGATCTTGCAAGAGTGAAGTTATGCAGCTGCCTGTCCCACTGTGATCCATTTCTGGCGTACCTCTGTGGGCTTCCTTTATACTGCTGTCTGATGCCTTTCCATGGTTGATTTCAACAGGCTCTTCACAGTAGCCACGAGCTGTAATGCATCGATATTTGGTTCATCACACAGCTTTTCCAGAATATTTCCATCCCTTTCCATTGTCTCAATGTATCCTTGCCAATCTTCTCTCGAGTCTATGCCTCTTACCCTCAGGGTTTCCCAGATTTCTATTTGCAGTTAACGGTTGACGCCACAGCACCCTATTAGTGCCCCTATCTTCTCACATACCACCCCAATTCCACCCGATAGGCTCTCTTCATGCACGCTCCTATCGGCGGGAATTTTGTGTTTCCGCATTTTTTCGCGCATATCGATGGGGATTTTCTCGATCGTATCTCTGACTTCTTCTAACACACACCGTATTCACGTGGAAAACTCAACCGTTACCGGGGTTTTATTTTCTTTCCCATCCGCCTCGCACATCTCAACTTCTTCCACCATTTTTCTGCAATAGAAAGTCTTATCCTCGTCTAGGCACGTCCCTACCTACGACGGGCACGACGAAAAATACAATACGAGGCTAATCGAGCAATTAATCGCGAAAAGCGAACGCAACACGCAACCTAAGAAAATCAATCACTATGCGTCCCTTCTTGTCCAGAGATCAATAGTCCTCAACCGATACCGGCGCCCCTTTTGAATTCACCTTCTCCTACCACGTTTCGGAACTGTCTTATTGCGCAGTCACTCGCTGAACTCTATTGGAGCGGTTCGGCCCCATGTACAGTTTGGCAAATCTCCAATAAGTTCCGGTTTGTGATCGACCGACAAACAAGACACTAGACTGACCAAACAATTTATCAGGCAAAAACCAATAGTGACGAACACGAAACGATGAAAAAAAACGATATAAAGGATTTCACCGATTGTCATTGTATCGTTTTTTTTTCCATCGTTTCGTGTTCGTCGCTATTGGTTTTTGCCTGATAAATTGTTTGGTCAGTCTAGGGTCTTGTTCGTCGGTCGATCACAAACCGGAACTTATTGGAGATTTGCAAAACTGTACATGGGGCCGAACCACTCCAATAGAGTTCAGCGAGTGACTGCGCAACAAGACAGTTCCGAAACGTGGTAGGAGAAGGTGAATTCAAAAGGGGCGCCGGTATCGGTTGAGGACTATTGATCTCTGGACAAGAAGGGACGCATAGTGATTGATTTTCTTAGGTTGCGTGTTGCGTTTGCTCTTCGCGATTAATTGCTCGATTAGCCTCGTATTGTATTTTTCCGTCGTGCCCGTCGTAAGTAGGGACATGCCTAGACTTTCTACCTAGAGGATAAGACTTTCTATTGCAGAAAAATGGTGGAAGAAGTTGAGATGTGCGAGGCGGATGGGAAAGAAATGGAACCCCGGTGACGGTTGAGTTTTCCACGTGAATACGGTGTGTGTTAGAAGAAATCAGAGATACGATCAAGAAAATCCCCATCGATATGCGCGAGAAATGCGGGAACACAAAATTTCCGCTGATATAGGAGCAAGCATGAAGAGAGCCTATCGGGTGGAGTTGAGGTGGTATGTGAGGATAGGGGCACTAGTAGGGTGCTGTGGCTTCAACCACTAACTGCACATAGGAATCGGGAAAACCCTGAGGGTAAGAGGCACAGACTCGAGAGAGGATTGGCAAGGATACATTGAGACAATGGAAAGGGATGGAAATATTCTGGAAAAGCTGTGTGATGAACCAAATGTCGATGCATTACAGCTCGTGGCTACTGTGAAGAGCCTGTTGAAATCAACCATGGAAAGGCATCAGACAGCAGTATAAAGGAAGCCCACAGAGGTACGACAGAAATGGATCACAGTGGGACAGGCAACTGCATAGCTTCACTTTTGCAGGATCAGATGAGCCTACAGATCGGAGTGCGCTCAGGACGCAACTCGAGCAGCTCTGAAAATCGTTTGGAAATGGGATAAAGGGAGACCAAATGAAAGTTTCAATGAAATCAATAGGAAGTTCAGTCAGAAATACAGTAAGGTCATAATAAATGACAGACATTGATCGAGATGTTGAGTACCACTTAGGGGACCGCGCAAAGAATATCGTGAAAGCCCACCCAGGTAATGTCGTTGATAAAGGCTCCGAGGAGGTAGTCAAAGAGCTGGGTCGACTTTTACCGAGGGACGGTGTGGATCGGAGGATAAGAGCCGGAATTGCGCAGCTTGCGAATGAAGTTATGGCAAGATGTTGCAGATTTTTGCGTTGTTTTGGAAAATCTGGCTAGAAGGGCAAACCTGGAGAGCTCAGCGAGGCCAGGTCTTTAGAGAATGGCGCGAATGGCCTAAGCACGTTCAATTGGTAAGTGTTATGCACCGTGCAATTTCGGAGAACGCACATGAAGAAGTCAAGCAACATGCTTTGAGCGTCGAACAATCAAGGACAATACTAATAATAACAGAATTTCAAGTACTGTACTCACCTTTCAGCAGGAGCACCTCTTTGAAAAAAGTGCACAAAGGTCTCGTGTAAATCACTGAGCGAATCGAGATTTTCGTGATCCTTGCCCTTTTCACAGGTCGTATTCAGATTTTCAATTATCTGTGTTCCAGAAACAATGACATCCACATTGCAATTGAACCTGAAACAAGTTGAAAGCCATTTGCGAGTAAGGCATACACGCATGTATACCCAACCGCACAAGTTAGGGTAACGTCAGCTGTCACGCTCCAACTCATCTTTATGCTTCACCCTTTCCTACACTTTACCATTCTGCACAACATTTGCCTAAATTTCTCCATTTGGCGATTTTTTCATATCCCAACACAAATTCACACTAGTAGGACTATACTATTTCGAAACCTTTTTTACTGCACCTTTATATAACACTTCTCATAACATCGCACATGCACATTCGCTCAATAGTTGTCTACAATTGGAAAGCGATACATCGGCAATTTGCACTTTAAGAATAAGGATAAGGGATAAAGCCTTCGCCATTGATCAATCCCTCCCTTGGGTGCGGCACACAGCCTACTTCCATTTGTATACTGGTAATGGCGTTTGAATGCGATTTGGCCTATACAATAACTTGCGGGGGCCAGGCGATGCAGAACTCAGTGTTTCTACCCTCCCAGACAAATCTGGTCACAATTAATTGACCCAGAGATGGAAGGCTTGGTTGGCTCGCACGACGGACGACCTTCGATCCCGGACCGCGCGGGTGATAAGCTTGCCACTACATACATCACTGCCGCCCATGCATGCACTTTATGAGCTATTCAGTAAAATCAAACACAGCCCATACCAACCATCAACCACCAACTCATCGCAAATACACCGAGTGTGTGCATTTTCAAATCGTGAAAGCCCTTCACACGCAAGAGTAGCTAAGGTTGCACATATGGAAAGCAAAAAAAAATACATTTTGCCCGTGTCGCATACCAGTGATTTTTCGTCGAGCCTAAGAAGAGCTATCCTAGCTGCTTTAGCCTGAACCTCCTACTCAATTTCTCAAATCGATTCACTGTTGGGAAGCTTCTTGGAGATATTAGCCCTGGCTATGCGGCCCCTCCCCCCAGCCTTCCATTCAACAAAACGTCGTAATGGTGGTCGCCTCGCTCCATCGCTTGTCCGTAGCCGAGTGTGACGGCGGTCTGATGGTGAGCTCGACCAGCGCATCGTGTTTCCAGGCAGAAATTCCTGGTGCCGTCCACATAGAAAGCCACTGTGAGTTTTTTTTTAAAGGAATGCTCTTCAATTCAAAGTTGGGAGCAATCGGTTTGAATACAAGAAAGTGATCCATCTGAATGTAAAAAAATAATGTCTCCTTTACTGCCTCCACCCCCTCCCCCTAAAACGGCCGGTCTTTCAAAATCTTTTGAATTTTTTTGTAGGAAGCCAGCAGTTTCCTGATAGGACCTTGGAAAGAAATACCAGGGCCTTTGGCAGCTCCTAAAGCGAAGGATGCGCAGAGTAGCTCCAAGTAAAAAAATTACATGAATCATTAAAATAAGAGCTGAAGGAGAACCTAGGTCTACCACCTTATGGTTAGATTCAACAAATCACTCTTGACTACTGTACGCGAGAGCATTGCTCTAGGTGTCATCGAAACATCGATAGGTTGAAGAAATTACTCAAGAAAGCCTGCACTAGCTGAACATCACTACACTATACAATACGAACAGTGCCTTTCATAGAAAGTCTTCACTCAGCTATCAGTGCAGAAAGCTGTCATTTTAGGAACTTTCGGCCTGTTAACCTTTCATTTGTTTGACCTTTATAGGCGCTATGAATCTCCATGATCAATTCTTTCGTTACCGTAGCTTTTGCCCATCCTAATAGTGACCAATCACAGTCAAATTTTCGCTTTTCTGTGACGCAGTCAACACTCGGTGCATGGGGAAGTAGTATCTAGTTTATGGCAAGTCTTGCTATCTTGCTGAATCTAACTCTATTATCGAGCATTCTAATCACTTACATCGTTTGAAATAAATAAGCCTACCGTTGGATTTCATATACCATTTCGTGCAGTTGGGTTTCCGCATGGTAAAAAATATTAAAAAAAACTTAATTCATGTAACATCTTACCCAACTACGGCTCTTCTGAAAGGTATTCCGGGCTTCGCGATAGCACGATCCCAGGCGAGCGACATGGCTCGCTCCACTGAATACGACTTCATCTGATGTTGTTCATGGAAATAACTGAAATATCATACATGACGTAGCTCTAAGTTCTGTAATAAGTAGTACAAGTTTACTGCATGAAACAACCAGCTGAATTCTGCATATACAAAGCTCTTCAGTTTGGGGCCAGCACAGATAACAGGATGACCGTGGTAATCAAATTGGAGAAATTTGAATTTGAAGAAAAGCGGCAATGATGGCCCAAATATGCTATACACAGTCTTATAGAAGTCCGACAAAGAAGCTGCAAGTCCAGCAGTCTTGATTAGTAATCTGTATTCAGATTAATCATGAAGGAACGCTGTTAACATGCTGGCGAGCTAAACGCCACATTCACAACCGTTCAGCGAAAACGAAACATGATCTTGTGCTCCTTACATGCATCCCTAAAATACGTAGAAAACCACGTGGCTTACCCCGAAAGATTCCTCATGTACGTTTCAAGGTGGTACCACATTTGGTGCTATTGTCCCACGCGAGGCACACACCGAAGGGTGCTATTGTCGCAAAGGTTTAAAGGCACAGTCAGGCTCAGTGGACCAAACCAATCTCTATCGTCGTCTTTGTGCATGGCTACGCACCCACAGAGACATTACCATGCGCAGAATCCCGAACGGCGCCGTAGTAAGGCTCCAGAGCAAGTATTAAGCGCTTTCGCCGCCTGGAGGCGCTCCGACCGCCCACCTCCCCGAGTGGTGCGTGGCTGGCATAACGTGTGAATCAGCTAGGCTGATTGCCGTATCAACCGATAAAACGACTGCCATCTCCAGAAAACTTGTTTGTACGTGCCTCTTGCCCCAAGCCAGCCTCCTTCATTACTAGTGGGGAAGAGGGTCTTGTTAAGGCCTTGTCGACGGTTTTTCTCAGTTTTTTCCCCACTATCGTCCCACTTCGCATTTCTAAACTCAGTTTCAATCGCCATAATACCCCCTTCACAACCCGACTTTTGCCTTTAAGAAAGTTTTAATTATTACTCAAAATTTTATTAGCTCAAAAACAGTAGTTCAACCAATCATTCCACTTGCTTCTCAGTACAGCGCATGCAATCAAGTGGGGTCATCCCCCAGGCAAGTCTGGGGAGGTGTGAAGTAACCTGAAGCGCGCTACAGCAATCCGCTAATTACGCTACAGTACTCAGTTTCAAACTAAGTACACACACCCGTCAGAAGGATTTTCAGGAAATTTACACATGCATTCTAAAGAACCAGATTGATCCCCCGGCCTCCGCCGGAACTCCCTTCCCTGCGTGAACTTTCCGCGTTGGAATCCCTGCCATTTGCGGCACCAAAACCTTTTGAAGGTAACGGGCATGCAGAAAAGGAGGTTTATATTATAGAGGGGGTGTGTGTAAGGTTTCGGTGCCACAAATGGCAGGGAACCCAACGCGGAAAGTTCACGCAGGGAAGGAAGTTCCGGCGGAGGCGGGGGACCAGTCTGGTTCTTTATAATGCATGTGTAAATTTCCTGAAAATCCTTCTGACAGAACTTTTTTAGAAGTCTTTATTAGTGAACCCAACGGATTTGTTGCACTTTCCTCCACTTAGATTTGGTCTGAAAGTATCAAGCTTCTTTTGAAGAAATCTGTCCGCTCGTGACCGTTGATAGATAAATTGTTTTAAAAAACCAATGCTCAGGGATACGCCGTGAACTTATCAGCGATTAGCAGTTGCACTGGCATTTGAAAGTCCTCCCCTTCCCTGGAGACGGTGAGTGTCGCGAGAGTAGTCGTGTGGTGTGTGTCCCACCGCTGGTTTCCTCGTACGACCCCCTCTCCTTCCTTACGCCGAATACGACCCCTTCGTTATTCTTTACGCAGCGTGCAGTAGACCCTGCTTGCGGAATATTCGTTTCACTGCAGAGCCCAAAAATCACTGTGATTTTTGGCCCTATTCGTGCCCCTGGCGCAAAACTGATATTTTCAATCGATAGCGATCGATAACGTGGGACCCTGCAAATATTCACTACAGCAGAACCCAACCACCACTGTAAATTTCTACTCCCATTCGAGCTCAGGTGACCACATAGAATTTCTACTTCTACTTCAGCACCCAACCAATACTGCGATTCTCAACCTGAATGCGCGCCCTGTGCACCAAATAAACCGTATTTTCAATTGATGTCAATCGATAGCATCAGGGTCAACCCTGCGTTGCGCAAAATTCCAAATTTTTACGACCCCCTTCTTTTCGAGGGTTTCTGTACGACCCCTTCCCTATTAACCATTATGTCTTTCAAATAATTTAATGATCATCATTGATGTGTGGGCAGTCACCAACTGAAAAAGTGGTGGACCGTGGTCATCCGCGCGCTCTGTCTCGCTCAGAGGAGGAAATCGAGGAAGTATGAAGTCTTATTCATTAAATAGAAGGAATTTCCCAAATTTTTTGCGTAAACCAATATCATGATAAATATCGTGAAGATTTCTACTTCAGGAAACTTGCAAAGCTTTTTTCGATCCCTCATTTTTCTTAATTTTATAATCGAACTAAACTTGTAGCAATTACGTTGCAATCCAAACCCCCTCATTCAGAAGTGCTATATTTTTTTTAGAAGCGGTCTCACGAACGGCGAACATCCAAAAATTTAAATAGTTCTCTTCCTAAAAAGTATTTGAAATGTTACAAGTGTTCAACACTTCAAAAAATCGTCCCGTTGTTTTGTGCGAACGCGACTTTTTGATATTCAAACATTCATAACTTTATTCAAACCAACTTTTTGCAGATGTCTGAGGCTAATTGGAAACTAGAAGATTAGCGCTTTCAAACAAGCTCCTGACTTCTCTCCAACGATCACTCTCTCGAAAAATAGTTCCGTTGCTCCGTTTTTGGGGGGTTTGTGGTCAGATTTTTGAGCAGGCGAGTTTTCGACATTCAAAGGTTCATAAATTTCTTCATAATCAACTTTTTGCATATGTTCAAGGCTAATTAGAAACTAGAGAACTTGTGAATGAGCGCTAAAACTTTTTAAAATAATCAATCGCTCGAAAAATAGCCCGTTGTTCCCTTTTATCCACCTTGATCTTTTTCAAGCCATTTTCCTGGACCACGACTATGCTGTCTTCAAAGGCCTATAACTTCCTTCAAAGTTGATGTGATGAGACGCAGTAAAGACTGTTAGAATCTGCTCGAAGAGTACTTCATAACAAGTGTGAAATTTCTTTCTTCTTCCTCGATGTTCTCAAAGGGTCTCTAGAACTCAATTCAGCAAATTCGCTACACTTTGTTCCGCTTAGATTCGATTTGGAAGCATCGAAATTCTCTTCAGAAAATTGTCTGCTCACGGCCGCTGACAGGGAAGGAGTTTTATGGGAAAACGCCTGTTGGGTATACGCCGTGCACCTGTCTGTAGACAGAAGTCGCACTCGCATTTGGAAGTCCTCCATTTTCCTGGAGAAGGTGGTATGTATTATCGTGACTGAGTTGCAATGTACTGTCATATGGTACTCTTGTTTCCCTTCCCCAAGAACTGCTCTACACTTTGTTCTCCTTGGGATTTCAGGAATGTTCGATCATCGAAGACAGACCGTATTTTTGCACTACGCAGTAGCAAAGTATTTGGCTACCAGATTAGTCCCCCGTCAACCGCCGGGACCTTCCTTTCCTGCGCAAGCTTTCTATCCTCCGCTATGGTCCCTTCCTCCTGTGACACCAACACCTCCTGGAAGTGACGCGTATGCAACACAATGGTGTTTCGTACAGTAGAAGGGACACAATCATGATGTGACGGTAGATTTGTCGCTCCCCTTCCTCATCCTCCCTTCCTCTCTCCACTGCCCTCCAGCTGCTACTGCAGCAACATGTGACTGAACGAAGTGGCTAATCACACAGTCCTTATACCATAGCACGCCCTCGCCACAACACCTGGAGTCGACAGCCGTCACTATCCTGCTACAAACATCCTCGATATCGTCCCACTCCCTGTGAGCTACCCGCTATGTTAGGCCGTGTTTATCCCCTGAGCTTCCTCTCAGTCACTTCATTTGGCGACGGACACACATACAGTCGATACCGAAAGTGGTAGGTGTGTATACGACCGTGACTCCACGATAGTACTTGGTGGAAAACGTGCCAGCATGCTTGCTGATACTCAGTGATGTTAACTGTTGAAAGCTGCTTATCCACCATAGTTGCTATCAAGTGCACGCCACTTCCCGGTAACACACCCCACCGCCACCCTCAACCGATATCGAACACCGGTCACATGGCGGGGTACATACCATACATACAAACATACCGCACACACTACAGACATACAAACGGACTCACAAAGTTACGCTAATTTATAAAAATAGAAGATTTTCGAACACCCTAGCCCAGAAAGGTCCCATAGTATAGTTTGCTAGCCCGAAGCCGCATGAATTCTCCAATGGACACTACTGCCAGATTGATCTTTAGGAACAAGGAAGAATGGAGTGTGCAAAACCCCGTCGACGCCAGGGCCTTCATAGAACTGGCGGGCCGCCATGGTCAATCCGTCGAGGACCGGGCGGGGGGCCGGTGGACGCATGAACCCGTGACAAAGTCTCGCCGTTGGCATGCTGGGGCCGATTTGCACGTTTAGTCGCAGAGAGATGTAGGCAGGTTGTTGCTCGAGGGAATTTGGATGCGGTGACTCCTCACACCCATGTAGAGGGGGGAGAAGTCCCGTTTACTTTGAGCAAAGTGGAGGAGGTGCGTGGCTCCCCACAACTGTGGAGCTGAGTAATCGTCGCCTTAACTTGGCCCACCGCCTTGTTGGGCACGAGAGCCAGGGCAAGGTGTGATGTGTGCCAAATGAGGCGCCGATTACGTTTGTAAGAGCCGTGAAGCTCGAATCCGCCTAAGCCAATGATCATTTCTTCCACCTGCGATCGTTATCGGGTAACTTACCAGCGTTAGGAATGAAGAGAAGAAAGCGCTTCCGACTTTTCACATTGTACGGACTCCGCGGGCGGCGATACTCGGCCCCGGGCATGTATTCGCGTAAAGCCCCACGGGTCCCACGCGGACCGAATTCA